AATACTGCTTGTATTTGAATGGTGGGAATACTGCTTGTATTTGAATGGCAGCTAGACTCACATCACCTGGGTCCCTTCTTTCTACTGCTAATCCTGAGAGGTGATGGGCTCAACGTGGAAGTGATTCCTAATGACTATAAAGTGGGTAAAAAAGTTCGCTTCTCTTCTGCCTTGAGAACTGGGGTCCTGATCTGTGCTTATGGAATCTCCATCATCACCCTGCATGGTCAGACATGTGTGAGAAAGTTCCTGGAGAAAGGGGCTGTGGATCAGGAGGGAGCCCACTAGCCCTCTGCATTCCCATGTTGGCTCCCCACCCCCACCCCAGTCCCCCACTTCTACCCCGTACCTTGGTCAGCCAGCCCTTCACAGTGGGCTTAGTGCCCCGATGTGGCAGGGCCGCAGGCCCAGTGGCCTGAACCTTCAACAGGCTCTGGAGAACCCGGATCCATTCTTCCAACATGCTGGGTGAATCCGCCGTCAAGTAGAAGATTTTCTTTTCAGAGATGAGCTGTCCAGGGTCAAGGATTGGGGCCAGAGGCAGCAATCAGGCTCAGAGGTGCCACAAATCCCTACAGTCATTAGGCCTTCCTTCCTCCTACCCCACTCTTCCCCTCCCCATCACTTCTTCCTTCTTTCCTCCCTTCACATTCAGTCTCCTCTCTTCCATGTGTGCATGCACACGCAGACACAGACACAGACACAGACACACAGACACACACACAGCTAGGATCACATCCTTTCCTGCACATTCATTTTTGGCCCGTCTTTGTCCCAGCCATAGTCATATCCAAACACCAGCACCTTATCTATCTAACAGCTAAGAGCAGACTCACCTGGAAAGTCTGAGCACCCTCCCCTCGAATTATCTGACAATGGGAATTCAGATCCACTTGACCTTGAGGTTTCTTGATGACATCACTCTGTAAAGAAAGAAACGTGGAGGGAAGCCTTGGATGTGGCAGCTTCTCAAAGTCTCACCCTCCTGAGAGTAGTTTATCACTGCTTTTACTTTCCAGTATTACTGTAGACACCACTAATTGGTGATGACATTTTTCTCATGGAGGAACAGATCTGGAATCCTTAACATGAAGTTGGAGGCAGCCACTACCAATCAACCAGAGTTGCACCAGAGATCTTTTTGTCCTCTTCAAACCATGACAGGGCTCATGCCTATAATTTTAGCTACTCAGGAGGTTGAGATCTGAGGATCACAGTTCAAGGCCAGCTTGGGCAGAAAAGTTGATGAGATCCTTATCTCTAATTAGCCTCCAAGAAGCCTGGAAGTGGATCTGTGGCTCAAATAGTAGAACATTAGCCTTGAGCAAAAAAAACTAAGTGCCAATGCCCAGGCTGAGTTCGCTCTAGTATGGCACTAAATGGATGGAAGGATGGATGGATGGATAGCTAGCTAGATAGATGGATGCATAAATAGGATACATGGATGGATGACTAGATGGATGGATGGCTAGATAGATGGATGCATATATAGGATAGATAGATGGTAGATATGTAGATGGCTAGATATATGGATGGATAGATACGTGGATAGGATAGGATAGGATAGATAGATAGAACGTGACAGTTCTTCAGCTCTGTCAAAGCAGATCCAACAGGTAAGATTGAGAGATAGCGATAGATAGATAGATAGATAAGATAGATAGATAGATAGATAGATAGATGGATGGATGGATGGATGGATAGATAGAATATGACAGTTCTTCAGCTCTGTCAAAGCAGATCCAACAGGTAAGATAGACAGACAGACAGATAGATAGAACATGACAGTTCTTCAGATAGACAGACAGACAGATAGCTAGAACAAGGCAGTTCTTCAGCTCTGTCAAATCAGATTCAACAGGTAAGACTCCTTAATTTCAGAGAGGGGAGGAGGCCATGAAGTTGTCTGTTAGAACAATACAGATAAGGTGAGGACTGCCTGGGAACAATCTTTTTTTAATATGAGCAAGCAGAAGAAGAAAATGGCTTCTGAAGGAAGAAAAAATGCCTAGAGCTGCCCTGACTGCCACTGCCTTATTTCACTGTGAGTGAAATGTGAGGCTGCAGTCAAATCCTGTGTGGCTCAGCGCCTCCAATCCAGTGAGGCTGCCTCTCTCACTTGTCATACTACCCCTCTCTCCCCCAGCCTAGCCCCTGGCATGCAGTGCTGGGCCTTCATGAAGACAGAATGGGAAGGGTGTGTCTCACCGGGGACTTGTAGTACAGAATCTGTCCCTGTCTCAGGACAAACCAGCGCCTCTTCCACGTCTTTACCCGGCTCCCCATTTTCAGCAGGTAGCCTGACTTCTCCAGTGACTCCTGAAGGATGAAGGGAATAGAAGAGGGAATAGAAAGGGGAAATCACTTGGGACTCTTAAACATCACAAAATGGCCAAAATGGTGAGGCTACTTCTTCACCATCAACTTTTAGGAAAAAGATGATTGAGCACCTGTTATGAGTACTTGTTTTCAGGTCTCTGTACCCTGCTGAAGTATGGTGGTAGGCCTACCATGGAAGGCCCCTCAATGGCTGGGGAAGATAGCACCTCACCCACCATGAGTGGGTGGCAGATCAAAAGCTACAAGGGGACAGATTGGCTAGAGAGAGCATCAGGAGAGATGCAGAATTTGGGTTGGTCTTTGACAGAAAGGTCAGCTTCTTCAAAGACCACTTTCAGGTGGGTGCTAGTGACTCCCGTCTGTAATCCTAGCTACTCAGGAACCTGAGATCTGAGGATTGTGGTTCAAATGCCAGCCTGGGCAGCAAAGTTCTTGAAACTCTTATCTCTAATTAAGCACCAGAAAACCGGAAGTGGTGCTGTGGCTTAAGTAGAAGAGCACTAGCTCTGAGCTGAAAAGCTCAGGCACAGCACCCAAGCCCAGAGTTCAAACCCTACAACCGACAAAAGAAAAAGAAAAGAAAAAGTACACAGGGCAATAATCCCAAGAAGACCCAGAAGTACAGAAGTGCACCAAAGACAGTACTTGGCACCATAAAGCTCAACTGTATGTGTTCACTGTAAGCAGCAGCCAAAAGTCAATGTGGAGATACACAAGGCAGCGGAGGCAAACCCCTCTTGGGCTTCCTCTTTCCTCTCTCTGACAGCTGGGATACCCCAGCCATTCTCTAGCCCCTCTGGCCACATCATCCCCTCCCTCAGCTGCTGTCTGGACAAGCGCTGAGGCCCAGGTAGCCTCTGCCGCAGCTCTGCTTCCCCTGTACCCACTTCATCCTGCCCAGGCATGGAACCGTGTTCCTTGCTCACCGTGCCTAGGCCCAGCCCATCGGTGGAGTACGATGAGGTGCGCTGGAGTTTGTGCTCGGGCTCCGAGTAGTCACTGTCCAGGGAGCAGGCATCGGGGGGAATGGCGTAGTCACCCTCGGAGCTCAGTGACGACATGGAGACCCCTGGCCACAGGAGAAGGAATCAAGGCCCAGGCCCTTTTTCACCTCTCAACCGCCACAGCCAGAGAGTAATGGAGGGTCTTCATCATCCACCCAGGATCCCTAAATCTGGCACTGCTGGGGATCATACAGGGGCCCCATCTACAAACGTCCACAATTCTGCTCCCCTTCCCTGTACCTCTTTTGATGGCCCGAGGGCTGCCGAGTCCGCTGGTCTTCTTGCACTCAGAGCAGGGGACAGACATCCGGAAACTCGCCTGAGAGCTGCAGTCATCGTCAGACCCAGAGGACTCATCCACAAAGGGTACACTGCTGATCTGCGTGGCTCTCTGCATGACAAGACCCCTCCCTACTGCAGCTCAGGCTGCAAAACAAACCCTCTGCCACCCAACCGTTTATCCCTGACTCCAAATTGCCAGGGTGTGGCCCAGACAGCCTGTCGTAAACAGTGTACGTCCCTACGCAACCGTCCATACACAGTACCTTGGGCACCCCTCTCTGCCACAATCTTCTGTGGTGCTCAGTGAGCTCTCCCATCCAGACTGAACCCTGGCCAGCTGTGACCCTTAACTCCCTCCACTCTAGAGGACCAGTCAGCCCTAACAGGAACCAAGTGTGAGACAGGAGCTTTTCACATGTGTGGGGACAGCCAGGTGCTGGTGGCTCAGAGCTGTAATCCTGGCTACTCAGCAGGCTGAGATCTGAGGCTGAGCATGGTTAGAATCCAGCCCAACAGGAAAAGTCCATGAGACTCTTATTTCCAATTAACTACCAGAAAGCTGGAAGTGTGGAGCTGTGGCTCAAAGTGGTAGAGTGCTAGCCTTGAGTAAGAGTTTAGGGACACCATCCGGGCCCCAAGTTCAAGCCCCACAACTGACAACAAACAAAAAAACCCAAAAAAACTTGCAACTTGTAAACACATAAAAAGACTGATTATACAAAAGTTGGTGAGAGTACTGTGAGAGGGAAAGGGACCAAGGATATTGCAGTGTGACTCGATGTATGTACGCATTTTGTATACTGCTGGAGAAAAAAACAGACAGGGTCTACTGAAACTACAGTCCCAACCTACCAGGTGCTTTCAAAAAGTAATTTGGGGGCTGGGATGTAGCTCAGTGGCAAAGCGCTTGCCTAGCAAGTGCAGCGTCCTGGGTTCGATCCCCAGTACCAAAAAAGAAAAAGACAAAAAAAAAAAAAAAAAAAAAGTAATTTGGCAGTAGCTACATAACTCACCCAGAATTCCACCTCTAGAACAAGTACACGCACAATGATGCTCAATGCAACATTTATTTCTAAGAAAGGGACATAAATTATTATAAATCAGTAAAGGGATATTTAAGGTAGTTAAGTTACACTGGGGTATATATATATACTGGGGTATATATATATATATATATATACACACACACAGTCAAGTGAGGAGGAAGAGGAGGAGGAGGAAGAAGAAGAGGAGGAGGAGTAGAAAGAGGAAGCACAGAAAACCTGACAGCATACAGAATGATGCATACATGGTCCCTTTGTATGCATGTGTAGGTATCTACATGCGTGTGAGAGTAAGAAGGAAATAGAGGGAAGGAGGAAGGGGAGGGAGAGAGGAAAGGAGGGAAAAAGGAAGAGAGAGAGGAGTGGAAGAATGAGAATAAAGAGAAACTAGCACAAATGCATATTTTGTAAATGCATCTGTACATGCATCGGAGGGTCTTATGGAATAAATAACAACCATTATGGCAATTGCTCTTGGAGTTAAGAATTAGGAAAAAGCAATGTAAAAGGAAATTTCATTTCTGATTTTTTCTTCTATGAAAAGTTCTTTCTGGGGCTGGGAAGGTGGCTCAGTGGTAGAGTGCTTGCCTTGCATGCCTGAGGCCCTGGGTTCAATTCCTCAGCACCACATAAGCAAAAAGAAAAAAGCCAAAGTGGCGCTGTGGCTCAAGTGGTAGAGCGCTAGCCTTGAGCTGAAGAGCTGAGGGACAGCGCCCAGGCCCAGAGTTCAGGCCCCACAGCCGGATATCCCCCCCAAAAAAAAGAAAAGTTCTTTCAAGCTTTACTATTATGTTGTAAAAACCAGGAAGAAGATTAGTTGTGTAGTTTAGGCCCTAGGTTTGATCTTTAGCACTGTAAAGACAGAAACTAACAGAAAGAAAAAAGTATGAAAACATTATGTTGGGGGCTGGGAAGGTGGCTCAGTGGTAGAGCACTTGCCTTGCATGCATGAGGCCCTGGGTTCGATTCCTCAGCACCACACAAGCAAAAAGAAAAACAAAGTGGTGCTGTGGCTCAAGTGGTAGAGCACTAGCCTTGAGCTGAAGAGCTGAGGGATAGTGTCTAGGCCCAAGTTCAGGCCCCTCGATTGGACCCCCACCGCCCACCCCAAAAAAGAAAACATTATGTTGCAATTCTATTTTAATTGAAAAAAAAAATACAATGGGCCAGAGTGTAGTTCAAGTGGTAGAGTGCCTGCCTGGATAGCAAGAGGGCTTAAGGAATTCAAACCCTGACCTCTCCCCACAAAATAGCAATACCAGTTATATGTGTGTGGGGGGGGGGTGGGACGGGGAAAGAGGTTGTATGTGTTTAAACATAAGTAAACAATTCTGAAGAAAGGAGCTCCACCATAGAACCTGGGGGTATCAAGATAAAAGAAAGGCTGGGGAGTTGAGGGAGAATAGGTATAGGTTTAATTTGGTTTCACCCATATTCATTCTGACTCAATTTTTCTTTTCCTTTGCTGGTCCTGGGGCTTGAACTCAGGGACTGAGCGCTGTCCCTGAGCTCTTTTGCTCAAGGCTAGTGCTCCACCACTTGAGCTACAGCTCTACTTCTGGCTGTTAGTGGTTAGACTTTTCTGCCTGGGTTGACTTTGAACTGCAATCCTCAGATCTGAGCCTCTTGAGTAGCTTTTTGTATGTGCAGGATATTTGCAATAAAAGCTAGAAATGATCAACAGAATGACAAGTGGTAGACTGAGCTCCTGGATCAGGATCGCTGTGCCGGATGCCTTACCATCCTACCTCACCCTGGTTACCGTGTGCTGGGTCAGGGGCCTTTTCTGATGGGGACATTCCGCTCTACCACTGAGCCACCTTCCCAGCCCTACTGTGATAATCTTTTTTTTTTTTTTTTTGTCAGTCGTGGGGCTTGAACTCTGGGCCTGGGCGCTGTCCCTCAGCTCTTCAGCTCAAGGCGAGAGCTCTACCACTTGAGCTACAGCGCCACTTCCGGTTTTCTGGTGGTTTATTGGAGATAGGAGTCTCACGGTCTCTCCTGCCTGGGGTGGCTTTGAACCGCGATCCTCAGATCTCAGCCTCCTGAGTAGCTAGGATTACAGGCGTGAGCCACCAGCGCCCGGCTGGGACATTCCCTCTTGGCATGGCAGTTTCTTACCCCCTTCAGTGCTGTGTAGACAGGCACAGTGACATTCTTGTAGACAAGGCCAGAGAAGGATCCAGGAGAAGCCAGGGCAGGAGGACTGGAAGCTGCGGGGGAAGGAGAGGGTGGCTTAACCCCCTCAGGAGAGGGTGTCAGGAGGCAGATGAAAAAAGTCTTCCTCCTTCCTCCCTCCTTTCTGGGGCCCCTTGACTGTGTGTGACCATGAAACCCATGCACTAAAGGACCCACTGCAACAGAACCTTGCCCTTTAACTACTTTCTCCGCCACAAGGCTTACACTGTGCCCCTCTTGCTGAGGTGCCCACAGGCTCCTGCCACCGTAGGGATACTGTGGCTGGCTGCTGACTTTTTATTCTCGTCAGTTGTTGGGCTTGAACTCTGTCCCTCAGCTCTTCAGCTCAAGGTGAGCACTCTACCGCTTGAGCCACAGCACCACTTCCAGTTTTCTGAGTGGTTTATTGGAGATGAGAGTCTCATGGACTTTCCTGCCTGTGCTGGCTTTGAACTGTGATCCTCAGATCTCAGTCTCCTGAGTACCTGGCTTGGTGATTTTTCTTTATTGGTCATGGGGCTTGACCTCAGGGCCTGGGAGCTGTCCCTGAGCTCTTTTGCTTTGAGCCACAACTCCATTTCTGTTTTTGTTTTTTTTTTTTTTAGTGGTTTATTGGAAATAAGAATCTCACAAGGACTTTTCTGCCCAGATTGGCTTCAAACCACAATCTTCAGATCTCAGCATCCTGAGTAGCTAGGATTACAGGCGTGAACCATGGCACCTGGCTTTTTTTTTTTAATAGGCAATGCTTCATGAATTTGTATATCCATCATGCACAGGGGCCATGCTCATCTTCTCTGTGTTGTTTCAGTTTTAGTATATGTGTTGCCAAAGTGAGCAGAAGGCTCTTGGCCACTGAGCAAGGTTCGTGTGAATCGGAGCACTTGGGGCTGCTCTCACGCACAGCCCTGGCCCTGCAGAAGGGACGCACACATGTGCTTGGCAAGGTCCCTCTCTGCTCTGTGACTGGCTATAATCCCGATCACTTCCCCTAAGCGAGAAAGATGAGTTGGCTGTGCACTACTTCCTTAACATTCCTAGAAAACGAAGGCAGCTTGAAGGCAGCCCTGGCTGTATAATTTTGCCTGAACTGTTCGTGCTGGGGAAGGGAACCAGTGCCAGGCCCACCGCGGGTGGTTGGGCCCTTGAACTCACCACAGCAGGTGGCATTACTTCGAGGAGACACATCTGACAGCTGCATGCCTGATGTGGCCACTGCGTAGATCCGGCTCTCCTGGAATGAAAGGTGCCAGAAGTCAGGACCCAGGGCTGTATCCACACCCAAGATGGACCAGTTACTGGCTAGGAGACTTCAGGCAAGATCCTGCATTTCTAAGTCTGATTTTTCTCAGTGCTACAATAAAACTGACCTTTCAGTAAGCTGCTGTGGAATCAAATGAATTAACTAAAGTAAACATTAACACCCGGAGCTTAATCCACGCCCAGCAGATACTCAGTCCCTCAGTAGCCTTCACTCTATCCCTAGGGACAAAGGAAGTTGATAAGACAGTAATCTGTTTCCCCCCCCCCCCAATCTTTCCCATTTTAGACCCAGGTCTTAATCCTGAAGTTGGGAGTGGTGAGAATGAAGTCAGAGCCACAGGTGAGGTGTGTGTTCTTTTTTTTTTTTGGGGGGGGGGGAGGGTGTGGTGGCGATTGTGGGGGCTTCAACTCTGGGCCTGGGCGCTGTCCCTCAGCTCTTCAGTTCAAGGTGAGGGCTCTACCATTTGAGCCACAGAACCACTTCTGGTTTTCTGAGAGGTTTATTAGAGATAAACAGTCTCATGTACTTTCCTGCCCAGGCTGGCTTTGAACCATGATCCTCAGATCTCAGCCTCCTCTCAGCCTCCTGAATAGCGCAGTGTGTGTGTTTTCTTTTATAAGCTATTTGGTTTTTTTTGGTCCGGTTGTGGGGCCTGAACTCTGGGCCTGGGCGCTGTCCCTCAGCTCTTCAGCTCAAGGCTAGTGTTCTACCACTTGAGCCACAGCGCCACTTCCGGCCTTTTTCTTTTTGTTTATGTGGTGCTGAGGAATTGAACCCAGGGCCTCAGGCATGCAAGGCAAGCACTCTACCACTGAGCCACCTTCCCAGCCCTTTATAAGCTATTTGGAAACCAGGATACATTGTCTTTTTTTTTTTCTTTGTGCCAGTCATGGGGTTTGAACTCAGGGTCTAGTTGCTGTCCCTGAGCTTCTTTTTACTCAAGGCTAGCACTCTACCACTGAGCTACATCTCCACTTCTGGGTTTTTTGGAGTAGTTTATGGGAGATAAGAGTCTCATGGACTTCCCAGCCCAGGCTGGCGTGATTCTTAGATCTCAGCCTCCTGAGTACCTAGTATTACAGGGGTGAGCTACCAGTGCCCAGTTTACATTGTCTTTTTATTTATTTTTTAACTTAATTTTATTTTTGGTTGGTCATGGAGCTTGAACTCTGTCTGGTTTGAGTGCTGTCCCTCAGCTCTTGAGCTCAAAGTTAGTACTCTACCACTTGAGCCACAGTGCCAATTCCAGTTTTCTGGTAGTTAATTGGAGATAAGAGTCTTATGGACTTTCCTGCCCAGGCTGGCTTTGAACTGCGATCCTAAGATCTTAGCTTCCTGAGTAGCTAAGATTACAGGCCTGAGCCACCAGCGCCTGACTACGTTGTCTTTTTATGGTAACCACGTCACATCAATGTTAAGGTTTGGAGCCAACCTGCAAAGCCTGAGAGGAATCCAGAATTCCAGAGGTGAAAGACGCTTCTGCAGAGAATGCCAGACCCAAGCATATCCCCGGGTCTGAAAAAACCCCCCCAAGGCTAGGGAGCATTGCTCCAACAACCCAAAGGCTTCATCTAGACTGTTCCAGATCAGTTTGCTCTACTGGCCCAACAGGGAAAACAAAGGCCCACTCAGGTGACTGCTGAGTCACAGGGCTGACTAGGTCAGCCAGGCTGGCCCAGGAAGGCAACTGGGGGTCAGCCAGGCTGGGACACAGGGCTGGAAGGCAGTGGGGTGAGATCATAGCAAGGGGATGCTCATAGCACTGAGACAGCCGGGGAAATAAATAATAAGAGGCAGAGATAACCAGATAGAGGGCAAGACAAGAGGGCAGGGACAGGGACGGGGGTAGAGGTTGCTGCTGCTGCTGCTGCTGCAGGACAGATCCATCCATGGAGTGTACACATAAAATAGATTATTTCTGCCCATTGCGGTCAGGGGATTACACAAAGGCCAAGCTCCTAACTCCACGAAGGAAATGAATGAAACCCAAGCTTGAAGGACTGAGGTTAAACAAAAGATAGCACTGTTTGACAAAAGGGTATGAATGTCTATCACACAAGGTGGTTTCAAGGATAAAGAGAAAGGCTGTACCAATCAGAATATCTGCCTCCCTCATTTCCCAGGTTGAAAAATATCCTTCCAAGGATTTCTCAGGCTTTGTTTTTTTTTCCCCCTGATGGCTACAGGACAGCCTTTCTGGCCCACTGCCTTCTCAAGGCTGTTAGGCAGGAGTGAATCTTCCCCAGGGGCCTTTAGATGAGCAGCAGTGTCTTTATTTCCCTCAGGAGGGGGTTACAGAGTTGAAAACAAAGACAAATTCCCCTTAAACCACACTGGCTGATTGTTGGGGTACTTAGGACCCAGCTGACAGTGGAAAAAACATCATACCCCCATCTTCAGAGCACAGCTTATGTGTCACATGGCCTATCCTTTGAGACAATGTCTCATTATGTTGCCTGTAGCATTGCTAGGCCAAGTGATCCTCCCCCCTCAGCCTCCTGAGGGGCTGGGACTACAGGCACCCCTAGTAGCATGCCTGGCTGAAGCATTTTATCTGTGTAGCTTCTCAACTCTCTTGCCCACACGCAACTTAAGAAATACAAACAATAGCCAGGCACCAGTGGCTCACTCCTGCAATCCTAGCTACTCAGGAGGCTGAGATCTGGGGATCACGGTTCAAAGCCAACCCAGGCAGGAAAGTCCGTTAGACTCTTATCTCCAATAAACCACTAGAAACCCGGAAGTGGCGCTGTGGCTCAAGCAGTAGAGCTCGCGCCTTGAGCTGAAGGGCGCAGGGACAGTGCCCAAGCCCAAAGTTCAAGCCCCAAGACAGATCAAAAAAAAAAAAAAGATACACAAACAAAATGCTAGAGCCGCACTGTTATCACAGTGGATGGCTTTACTGGAGCAAAGTGGCAGATAAAAACTTCACTTTTTGGCAAACAGATGCTGAGCCCCTTTCTGCTATAACTCTTGTCCGAATGCGCCCTCACCCCACCTTGGCCTTGCAGCTCCAGAGCATGTGAAGAACACAAGGAGCCATTGCCTGAAGGACGGCTGGTGTCAGGGGCACCGCTGTTTCCTGTCTAATCATCCTTCCAGCCCAGCTCTACACTCGGAGGTCTCTAGCCTTACAGATGGTCTCATAGAGACCCAGAAGTTCCCCCCACGGGTGTAGCTCATGAGCCTGGACTTGGAGCCTCCCTGAACCAACACTTCAAAGGGAGCCCCTGGAAGATGCTACTGAAGTCAGGAGTCTCCCAAGCCGTGCTGTGGGGAGGTAATCCCATCATGGGATGCCCCAGTCCCTCTGCTGTCAGAAGCAGTGCTGCATCGGCGCATGGCAGCATTCAATCTGACTAGAGTAAGAGAATGCCATCTGAGCCAGGTGCCGGTGGCTCACGCCTATAATCCAAGGTACTCAGGAGGCTAAGATCTGAAGATCAAGGTTCAAAGCCAGCTTGGAAAAAGTCCCTGAGGGGCTGGGAAGGTGGCTCAGTGGTAGAGCGCTTGCCTTGCATGTCTGAGGCCCTGGGTTCGATTCCTCAGCACCACATAAGCAAAAACAAAAAGCCGGAAGTGGCGCTGTGGCTCAAGTGGTAGAGTGCTAGCCTTGAGCTGAAGAGCTGAGGGACAGCGCCCAGGCCCAGAGTTCAGGCCCCACG